ATGAATGAATGAATGAATGAATGAATGAATGAATGAATGAATGAATGAATGAATGAATAAACTGGCACAACTGACACACAACATGAAGTTGAGCAAAGGCCCTCCTAGCCACCAATGCCAACTGCTCCTCAAGCAGGAGTTGTGAATTAGGAGAACCCCCAGATTGCACATAGGGTCTGTCTGGGGCAGTGCTACCCCATCCAGCACCAAAATGGTATAGTCCTAGAACCAGCAGGCCCCAAAACCCAAAGCCACTCAGTCTTGCCAGGGTTCAGCTGAAGCCTGTTGTTCCCCATCCAGACCCTCACAGCCTCCAGGCACCAGGATAAGACACCCATAGCACTGCTTAGTTCACCAGGGGCAGAGATGTATAATTGGGTTTCATCAGCATACTGATGATACCTTACCCCATGGCAATGGATGAGCTCACCCAAAGAAAGGAGGCGAACCAGCACAACACCATGCCACCCACCTCAATCCTCTGAGTTGATCCAGAAGGATACCATGGTCAGTGATATCAAAAGCTGCTGAGAGATCAAGTAGGGCAAGGATAGAAGCACAACCTCCATCCCACCCATGCCAGAGGTCATCCAAAAGTACAACCAATGCCATTTCCATTCCATACCCAGGTCTGAATCCCAATTGAAGATATCTAGATAATCTGCTTCATCCAGGGTCCTCTGAAGCTGCTGCGCAACCACCTTCTCAACCACCTTCCTCAAAAAGAGGAGGTTCAATACTGGACAAAAATTGTTTAGTATAATGGAATACAGTGATGGCTTCTTGAGAAGGGGGTGAACCAAAGCCTCTTTAAGAGGTAATGGGACAACCCGCTCACTCGAAGAAGAATTTACTACCACTAGAACCCACTCACACAACACCCCCCAGGCCACCTTAACCAGCCAAGAGGAGCATGGGTCTAAAGAACAGGTGGCTTTGCTCACTGTCCTAAGGACCCTGTTTACTTCCTCAGGTCCAACAGGATCAAACCCTTCCCAGATAACTGGGCAAGACTCCTCCCCAGGCACCTCCTCTGGATCTATAACAAGGCTAGCATCCAACTGTGAGTGAATTCAAACATCTTTGTCTGACAAATGCTGGACAAATTCTTTCACAGCCTCTGCAGGGGGTTCTCCAAGCCGCCTCTACTAAAGGGGGCATGTGCCACCCATAACAGGGCTGCAAGATGGTTATCCACAGATGAAATAAGGGTGGAGAAGTACTGATGCTTCGCCGCCCTTACTGCCAAAAGGTAGGCCTTAATAGTGGCTCTAACCCATGTCTGGTTGAGTTCATCCCCTGTAAAACATCACCGACACTCTAGATGTCTCTTCTCTTGTTTCAACTCCTCCGTAAACCATGGGGAGTACCTGGATCCGTGACAGGGGAGAGGTTGCGTAGGCACAATCCAATCCAAGGCCTCAGCCACCCTCTTATTCCAAGTGGTGACCAAGGTTTCAGATGGACCATGTGTCTATTTTAAGTATCGCTCAAGGCACCTCTGCTCTTTTGTAGCAAACTAAACAGCTAGGAGTGAATTTGTAGTCGGTGTATTACAGGTAACAGGAACCTAGCTAGTTTTAAAATTTATAAATGAGATCCAGCGCCAAAGGTATGTACATCATTGGCTTATTCTATATAGCTGTTTTGTGGAGAGGAAGCATTAACTTTGGTATCTTCTCATCTTCTTGAATGGCACAGGGAAGGTTTTTCTCCATCTTGGCCCCATTCCAAGTTTTTCTCTGGTGAGACCAAGTGGGCATATTTCTGTCAACAGTTGAAGATACATCCATACTGCCAGCTATATCTAGAAATACCAAATAATAATAGTGTTGTAATAACAATAATAAGAGAGCCTGTTTGGTGTAATGCTTAAGGCATCAGGCTAGTAATGGGGACACCATAAGTTCTAGTCTTGCCTTAGGCACAAAGCCAGCTGGGTGACTTTGGGCCAGTCACTCTCTCTTAGCCCCAGGAAGGAGGCAATGGCAAACCACTTCTGAAAAACCTTGCCAAGAAAACTGCAGGAACTAGTCCACACAGTTGCTGGGCATCAATACTAAGGCATACATACATACATACATACACACACACACACTAACAATAATAGTATTTTGTATGCATTGGGATTTTCTCTGAGAGAGAAAAAATGGCAAACAAATCTTCTTTAAAAACATAAACGCGTGTGGTAACAAATAGTAATAATAATAAGCCACTCACCTTCACATTTAATTTTTCTCTTCTTTTTGGTGACAGTTTCAAAATATACAATCAGCAGTAAAGAATTAAGCCTTTTACTCCAATTTACCATTGTGAATTAAAACTTTTCATAACTACAGGAGGTCCCCCATTCTTCAAATCCCAACTTCCAAAGATGAATTGAATTTTCATGGTTTAACCATACAGTTTGTATGTCGATCAGCATCTGGCGAAGTTTTATTTCTTCCTTTTGTTTTTCTTTTCTGTTAGTTTCCTTTTTCCAAAGCAGTCTTTCAACATCTCTTCTGCTTACGGAAGGGAAACTAAATGTTTCATTTTAAAAAGAATTGCATAACATTTTAAAGAAAGCACTGTACTTCCCACAGTACAGCCTAGAGCATCTATTACAATGAAACTACAATTTTCAAGACTTTGCATGCAATGGACAAAAATCTGCTGTGATTTGCAATGTTTGCATAATGACATCCTTACACAGATAACACAGATTATATTGTTTACACCATTTGTTAATGCTATCAACATTAATTCTTTTGCAAATAACAAAAGGTGCAACATTTGGGTCACCCCAATGAAGTATTCTTAGGTTTGAGAGATTTTGGAGAACGATGGACCCTCTTCCCCACAATTGTCCATTAAAATGAAGTTTCAAAGTATATTGGTTCTCACAAAAAAAAAAAAAATCCACAAAGAATATCCAGTTTTCCTTCAAAGTGAGGATGCACATCTATGCTAGCAATGCAAAGATTCATTCAGAATGTGTCAATTTTTACCAAGTTATTAATCTAAGGTTACAGTTTCAAAGAACAATTCTGAGTTATGTGACAAGTTGTTTAAAGATTGATGAAGTTCATTATCTTGGTTGTATAAAAATGTTATAAATAAATAAAAAGTTATCATATAACCATTCATAGCTCTCAGTTGGCTTCATCAGATGCCTGGGATGTAATTAGATAGAGATAGGTATCTATCTATCTGTAATTAGATAGATAGATAGATAGATAGATAGATAGATAGATAGATAGATAGATAGATAGATAGATCGATCGATCGATCGATCTACCTGTAGATGATGATGGAGAGATAGAGATCTACTGATAGATAGATAGATAGATAGATAGATAGATAGATAGATAGATAGATAGATAGATAGATAGAGAGAGAGACAGACAGACAGACAGACAGACAGACAGACAGACAGATAGATAGATATGAAAGGACAGGTAAGTGACAGAATTAGCTTAGACAGCAATTGCAAATCAAATAAGTGTTACCCAGACATGATTGCACTGAATAGTTAGTTTATATAGTCAAGTTGTTTTTGCATAACCTCATTGCTGATCGTCTCCATACAGGCATACTGCATTCCCTGCCCTACTGAACTTTTAAACAAGTCTTTTAATTTTAAAAAACTGAATCAGGAAGCTGACATGCTACAAAACAAAATATCTGTTTGGTTGTTATAAAATGACCTGACTCTGTTAAACAACAATAACTTAATTTATTTACAGGAACAAAATTATACAACTGCTTGGAGATCTTAGTCTGCTTTTCTTAGCAGAAGCGCTCCCTCTCCAGCTGCCATTTTTCTTCCTGGGTTCTTCCTTGTCATATATAGAACTGGCTTCTCCTTCCCCTGTTCACTAACTAGTAACATATTTCATTACATTGCCTTTCCATTCAGTCATGAACTCGACGTAACCTTCAAAAACACAGTAAATAATATGGATGTTTTCAGTGCCCTGACTCTGAGGTGATGAATAGGTCTGCAGTCACATCCAATAACACTTGGGGATTATTCTGCCACAATAAGTCGTGGTATTTCTATCTGCATAAACTAGTTTCATGCAGACTTTCAGACCATGCTGCATCTAGAAGTCACAGGTTTTGTGCTTGAAGATGAGATGCATGAGTCTGATGATGTGATTAGATTGCCATTGTTATCTCTTAGTAGTACATTAACTCAGATCCAGTATTTTGGTCTGTACCCAAGTTTACCTTGCTTAACCCTGTTTCTGGAGGTTTCTGTGCTAGCTGTAAATGTCTTGTGCTTGTCTTAATCTTGCCTCTCTTGGTCTTGAGAATATAACACTGAGTTCCTACACAGTTGTTAGTTAAGACTCTGCCTTCAGATCATTTCTTTTGGCAAAGAATGCCTTCCATGATGGTCTGCAAAGAGGAATTTGTAGGCTGCTTTTGCATCTGATGCACAGACTTCCTTGACAATGGTCCAGTTAGGGCACAAGTTTGTTTTCAAGGTTGGAAATAGGATTCATAGTTATAACTTAACAAAGGTTCTAATGCTAGAATTTGCTTTGTAGTTTAAACCATTCTTTCTGTTCCATCACTGGCTTGTGAATGGCTGGGGCTGGTTGTAATATGTCTAAAATGGCACTTCTTTATAAATAGTGCAAACTCTTTTTCAATGAATTGTGGGACATTGGGATAGCCCCAATTTGCCATTACGTATTTTAAACAGTTAGTAGCAGCAAGTCTTGTAAGATCATCCATGTTTGCCATATCTAGATCCCTAGAAAAATAGCTTTGGACAACAAAATACTTATGACCTCCAAGTTAATTCTCTTCCAAGGTTCATTGGTGTAATAATCTGTGTTATTTTCACTCAGAAAATTTAAAATTCACCATCTACCACCCATGTTTAAGGTCCTGACTCAACAATGCCCATGAGACACATAATCTTGTTATATGCATTTAGTGTTACTGTCAGCCACAGATCATTACAGTTACCTTTGGGCCAGATGTGTCCAAGCAGAGCTGGACAGACACCTGTTATGAACATTTTAATTTGGATTCCAATCCTGAGCAAGGGGTTTGGCTAGATGGCCTAAATGCCCCCTTCCAATTGTATGATTCTGTGGGATTATAAAGCAGAGGTAGGATATGAACTCTAAATGCCAAATCACATTTTCTTTCCCACAAAATATATCAAAATACCAGTTTCACAAAAGACAAAGTGATGATGGAGAAACACCTCCACATACCCAGGGAAAACAAACTCACTGAACTTCCACACTGGGGGTCGGGGGGAGCACAACACTGAATCCCAGCTTGCCAGCTTTTCATTCATTTATTTTAAATGAAAGAAATTTTTGAGAAGCTCAAGTAAAGAATATGGCCAGGTAGATGCCAAAGAAAGAGCCCTAGGCATATTGGTGCCCATGGGCACCACACTTAGGACTCCCAAATTAAGCCATTGCCCTACATTAAATTATAGGTCATTATCATTTGACTAATATAAAGAAGCTGTTTGGCAGATTCCATTTTCACATGCAGAAAGTTCAGTTCCAACATCTAACTTCCAGCATTTTGTATTGTAGATATTTGGATAGCCCTCTGCTCATGGGTGTCTGGAAGAGAGGCAGGTAGTCAAAATCTACAAGACGGGAGGGAGGGAATCAAAACCTACACATACACACACACATATGATGCCACCTGGAAAGCTACTGTGAGGCTGTTTTAAACTCAGCACACTATCCCCAAGTTAACAATGGTTTTCTGATGTAAATCATTTTTTAACTTCACAAGTCATACTGAACAATAAACTGGCAACATGGCCGGAGTTTGCACTACACAGCAGCCCACCACATTCAACAAGTAACGTGGGCCAGCTTCAACAATGGCTAAGTGATGCTATGAAATCAGTAGTGCGGAAGTTACATTAATGTGATTTAACAACACTAGTCAAGATGAACCAATTGCCTGGCTTACTAGGGAGCAGCTTCAAATATCAGGAATAAAGTTTCATATAAAATTGTCTTTCTGATCTGTTTTATACAGCAGTGGATTCAATGTTTGATTATGATATTCAGCTGTTGCAGGTTGCCACCAGTTTCCTCTCTTTTTGTGGTATTGTGTGCATTTGGTTGTATTATTTAGCTCTAAAAGAACACATCTGCTTTCTCAGAGTTTAATGGAAAACAAAAAAATCTAATCCATCCCCATGTCAGAAAGAAATGCTAATTGGCTGGGGAATTAAATTTGCATGGATTTAATTCCATTAAATTCCAGAGCTTTTGCAATTAAGAGAGAAAAGTTTCAGCCAACTCAAAATGTCAGTGTTGCTGGCCAAAGGTTATTCATGCAACAAAAAGAAAAACAAATAAACCATCAAAAATGTTTACATCTCCTAGTAATTTTCTAGTTGCTAAAAGGGCTAGCACAAAAGGTAATGGGGATTTTTCTCTCTCTCTACCCTCCTTATACTGCAATTTGAGCAGAGTATTCTGTGATTCAAAAAATAAATTCTAAATGCTCCATTTAAAAAATGTAGCTATCTGAAATTATATTTTCCCTCCCTGCAATCTCAAACGTGGGGGGGGGGGCGGAGAAGGAGGAGTTGTCCTTGTTTTTTGACTCTCCCTCCTCGCCCTCTATGGTGGGAATGTATCCTATTTTGCCACTTGAAAGGATTGTCTTAACAATTGTTACATTAGATAAAGAATTCTAAGAAGTGGAGTTGCTTGGAAGTTGGCTATCAACTTTGAGCATCTGGATAGTGGATGGAGCAGAGCCTCAGTCTTCCCACTGTAGTGTGATGGATTGCATTTCTATTTCAGTTATAGTCAAACTTACTATACTTGCATCTAGATGTATTAGTAATGGTATTCCTATTGCAAACCCGTGATTTCTTTTAGTCCTTTTTGGGCAATGCTTGCATTATTGACACTCAGTCCTGTCTCTTCCTGCACCAGAACTAGCCCCACTTTCATCAAACCTTCCTTCCTTCCTTCCTTCCTTCCTTCCTTCCTTCCTTCCTTCCTTCCTTCCT